TCTAAATATGCCCAAGCTTATGCCCTTACATCTTTATCCGCTACCGAAATATGTGATAATCTCATATCCTTCTTTTCACATCATGGCATTCCATCAAAGATAATCACAGACAATGGAACTGAGTTCAAGAATACTGTTCTTACTGAACTACTCCAACTTCACAAAGTAAAAATACATTTTTGTTCTCCTGAACATCCCCAATCTAATGGCGTAATAGAGAGGCTCCACTCAACCTTATCTGAACACATAAGAATTTTCAACAATCAAGGATTCCTAAAAACGCCAATTACCCAAAAAATTAAATATGCAATCTTAGCATACAATCATACGATCCACTCTGTAACCAAACACAAGCCCATTGACATAATCACAGGACACATAAGTCCCAATGACCCATTCGATCTTAAGTTAGATCAACTCCTAATTACAGATTACGTCAACGAGCACAAAAATAAAACAAAACTCTTGTATTCCAACATAAATGAACGTCTTATGGATACAAAAAATAAAATAATTGGCAAAATCAATGAAAATCGTGATAAGCCAACATTATTTAGACCAGAACAGAAAATATATGTAAAGAAACATACACGCCAAAAATTAGGAGACAAATTTCGACCAGCCACACAAATAGAGACCGTTGACCCCACACGGAAAACAATAACAACGGACACTCTAGGCAAAGTGCATATGGACAATATTAAACGTCCTCTAAGAAACAAATATAGTTTCGATACTTAAGTTAATTTTAATAAATAGGTAATAAGTATAATAATATTGGTACTAATAAATATGAATATGATAACCTCACGCTTACGCTTACTAATCTTTATTTCAGCTTTATAACCCACGCATTAGGAAACCAAGAGCAAATCTCCATAAGAAAATTGGACGATAATCCTGGAATTATCCCAGTGAAACTTGGAAATGCAAAAATTAGAGACTACACCTACACATTGATACACTACTATGACCTAAATCCCATACTTATCGAAATTAACAAACTACACTCTAAATCCAATAATATCACTAACATGCTTAATGGACACAAAGAGTATTCTGAAGATATTAGTAATTATATCAAATTAATTCAACTAATACAAATTAGAGTAGATAACAAAATTAAAGAAATAATTCCCCAGCCACAAAGAACAAAAAGAGGCTTGATTAACGGCCTAGGGTCAATTTTCAAATCCGTAACCGGAAACCTCGACGCTGACGATGGCGAACGTTATGAAAATCTTATAAGGGAATTGCAAGGAAATCAAAAGAATTTGCAAGCAAATATTTTGAAACAAAATTCACTCTCTTTAACTGTTATTGAAAAATTCAATACGACGATAAAACAAATAAATTATAATGAGAAACTCTTAGAATCAAAAATCAATCAAATCGCACACATAGTAGAGAAATCTGCTTATAGAGAAAATTCTCTTTATATTAAGGACATAATTAATCAAATTATTAATGTCTATGAAATAATAGATTCAATATTACAAGATGTCGAAAACTCTTTAACTTTTTCCAAGTTAAAAATTATGCATCCTAGCATAATGAGAACTGAAGATCTCTGTACAGAACTTATCAAATTACAAAAACAACTGAGTAATGAACAAATGCCTTTAGCAGTTAATGTTGAGAACATTCTTTTGTATGAAAAAATCATCAAATTAGAATCATTTATTCGTAACAATAAAATAACTTATTTGGTCCATATACCTATAATGTATCCTGAATCTTTCGATTATTTCCACCTATATTCAATACCAATCAAAAGTCAGAGTCAGTTTAAGGTAGTCCTTCCACAAAATAAATATCTTCTAAAAAACGGATTGCACTACGCACATTATGGCCAAGAATGCCAGGAAATCCTTCCTGAATTCCACATATGCGAAAAAGAAGAACTCCACGAACTTCAAGACAGCAGTCCATGTGAAGTAAAGCTACTGAACTCTGAAAAAGACACTTCTACTTGCAAGCCAACTGAAGTCAAAATCACACAACCAATAATCAATCGATTGGACAAATCCAATCAATGGGTATTTGTACTTCCGGCTAAAGTACCTATAAAACTCAAGTGCTTTGGACAAGAAGAAATCAGAAAAGTTATTGGAACCTTTCTAGTTCGTATACCAACCAGTTGCCAAATAACTATCTCTTCGAGACTGATTATCAACGAAAAGAAGCCTCTGAAATCAGATGCACAACCTATACTATTTCCTGACCTTCCAAATGTACCTGAATTAATGCATTCCCTGAATTTAGGTACACACTTGAAAACCATAAAATTGGACAATCTCCACCAACTAGCTAATGAGATTGTCGAAAACCGTTTGACGTTTACTGAAATCAGAAGACTACCAAGTTTGGGAACCATTCTGATATATGCTATGATCCTTGCTGGGTGTGCTGTTCTTGGCTATAAGAAACTAGCACCGAAGTTGAAGAAACGAAGAGGGGACAACCACCCCGAAGAAGAAGCCCGATCAATCCAACTTCCTCGCTTAGCATGAAGTTGTATCTCAAGAAGGGAGGAGTAATGTCAGCTCTATTTGCTGACCATTCATATAAACTGCTTAATTCGCTTTTCTTTATTATAAATATCGCTGCCCGCCTAGAATAGTCAGTCAGTTGAATTGTAATTATATTTCTTATTTGAAACTTTGTAACGCGAACGCGAAAGTATTTCTCTATTGTAATTTAGTGAATAAATTGTTTTTTAAAAACTTGTTATCGGCCTACGTATTGATAACTCGTAGACGGTGCCAAAAATATTCATAGAGATAACTTAAACTTACCAGATATTATCGATCAGAGCTGTATTTCTTCACGGTAATAAAATGTACATATCTACCTACTGATTTTATTTGTTAAAATGATCTAAAATTAGTGTTAAACGAAAGCTTATGACAAGTTAATACAGATACAAATCGTTTGGCTCAATCACCAACCGTTGAAATATTGTGTTCTTGGTTTGGCTTTGTTCTAATAAAGCGCAGATGGCATGAATCGAGGTATTAATGAATAAAGAAAGAATGTCTGTCTGGGTCAGGTGGTTTTGGGACAACTTACTCTAATTTGCGCTATATTTTGGATATAATATGTTTAATTTTTTTCTTTACATTAGAAATAAGTCAGCATTTATGATTTTATATACCTACATAGATAGGTAAGTACTAATTAAAAAAATCTAAAATAACATTGAAAAATAGGTCATGATGATAATAAAAGATTAATTAAAGTCTGCCCCTCTATATTAACCTTAATCTTTAAAAGCAACAATTAACGATGTCGTTGAAATTAAACGAAAATCAAGTTATTACAGTCGCCCAAATAATGGTTGATTAACATAATATGTGGTAGGTAATTTACTTTTTCTACTTGCGTGCGCAAAATTATTACTTTGCGCACTCATTTGCGTGCGCAAAGTTGTACTTTGCGCACGGAGACTCTTTGCGCACTCATTTTTGTTACGCATAGTTACCGCATTTATACTCGATTTTTCAATGTTTTGTGAGTTCCTGGATAACTTATATTCAGAAAGAAGGGCCTGATGTTATTTTTATTCCAAGAAAGGCATTAGAGTAATGTTTAGCTTTTTTAATTTGACACTTTCCGTATGAGGAGCGAGGGGAGGAAAAATCCAGCAAAAACAGATGTGAGGTCATATGACCATTGGCATGGAGAGCCACCAACTCACATTCCTGTGGAGTATCAGATTATAAAGGTTGGACTGTAAGTTATACTCCTCCATACCAAAATTTTGGCAAGAAAAACAAAATTAACGACTTGTTCAAATTTTAAGTAAACCTCGCTAGCACAACCAATGCTGTGCAAATAAAGTCAAGCTGATCACTGAAAAAAATATTGAAAACACAACACATTGAACTAGGAGAGAAATTTACCAATTTTGAGCATCTGGAAACATTTTAGAAGATTAGGTAAATACAGCTCCTCTGGATGCAAATCTTCAAACACTTGTAGAAAAAGTATTGTTCCTAACACTTGCGCAAAGTGTCTTTCCCGCACTCAAAGCTTATCCGAACTCCGCTTCGCGTCGTTCGTCTAACTGCTTTTTCGTGCGGGAAAGTATCACTTTGCGCACTTGTTAGGAAAATAACTATTACAGGGCTTATCAAAGCAAGTACGAAATTCTGAAAAAGTAGGTACTTCAATGATAACTATTAACTTCACGGTTGTTAATCATACAATACCGGAAAATCAGAAGTGGGATTATTGTGGGAGCATTTGTGGAATAATTGACGAGGTAATCAGTATAGATTGAGCTAATTAGTAGGAAATTTTTTCTAGGCAATTAAGATCGATTTGACCTAATAACCAAAAGTGAAAAGACCATATATTGGTTGTATATATCTGAGTCGCGGATGGGATAACAGGATGAAATCCACCCTAGAATATGATAGAAAATCCTAACTAAGTATGTATTTCCAAAATTCTGATACACTTTGGAATTGACTGAATTGTAGTTGAAATCTGTCTCGAAATCTGTTATCAGATTCCTAGTGAGGAAAGAGACGTCAGGGTGTAATCTATCCCCACATTCATCCATAATGTCCCGCAACCAATAATTTTTCCAGCACCTAAGCTTTGGTTAGAATTTTTTTTTCAAGTTCAAGCTTTAAGGACTGAATACCTGATTTTTTTAAAGTAAGTTTGGTGATGATTTCAATATGTAAGTAATCAAAGTAGCTAACTAACTTAACTAACAAATCTCGATCGAGTTTGGGTTAGAATAGTGCAGCAGGAATTATTCTCAAGAAATAGGTGTCTCTACTAGCAATAGGTATATAAATTTTGTTAATTGAAAAAATACTTAGGCAAAGGAATTTTTTATTACAAATTTATCTTTATAAGTAGGTATGTGGCACTGCTTATTTGGCGGACTGAAGGCTGTAGCGAATCGATTCTTGCTAACTTCAGCGACATCAAATAAGGTACAAAAAGAGAGTGATATTTTTAATTTTTAAACACAAACATACCATATCCGATGTACCCCGATGTGTAGTGTTTCCTTGCCAAAATCTTCGTTGAAATCCATTCACGTATCCTGGAACGGCCTTATGGAAATCGAAACCCGGTCTCCAACACAAGGATCCATATGCATAGACCCACAAACATTTCGTTTCACTTGCGAAAACTTTATTTTCTAATGCTACCGAATCATTATCGGGCTCCGCATCCATGACCCAAACCAAAACCGAAACTCAATGAACTAATAATTTTGTGCTAATAATAAAAAAAATCCGCGGACGCCTACGTCTACTTGTTTTATCGAATTGCCATGATTCTGACGCAACTTTTGATTTACTTTCCGCTATACTCGCTACGAAAGCATGTCGTTGACTGACGAGTCGAGTGACGAGGAATGTTCTCGTTTCGTTTCGATCTCAAAGTTTGATGTATCTGGCAACAGGTTGGGTAGATAATTATGTATTGTCTATAGTCTAAAGTGATTAGCAGAAACACAGCAGGGAGTACTGTACGATATGATAATTATTATCATTGCTTTGAGTTTTGATGACTTAGCTTCAATTATTGTTACAAAGTATGTTTATAGTTTATACAATTAACTTAGTCCGTTAAAGAAAGCGAAAATATTTAAGTAACTTTTTTATGTGAGTCTAGGTCAGTTTTACTTTTAATTCAATATTGGAGAGTTTATGAATTCTTTTATTATTGATATTTTTTGAGATTCCTTTGTTTTGTTACTTACATTCGTATGCCAATGGTCCTGCCTACAAGGCTTGCGCGACTTTTCCGGAAATAATTTTAAATTTCTTCCTCTAACATCTTGAATGCGAAGCTTTTCTGGACCCATGTTCATGGCTACTTTTCTCTTGTTCTGATGATTTATATCCAACCTCAAAGTTTGTAACAATATTTCCGGAAACAACCAGTATAAAGGAAATTAAAAATACAAGCTTAGCAAATGATGATGTTGATTATTTAAACATGCTACTCTCTTATCTGGTCTGTTAGTTTGTGTGCAATTATTACTTCCTGGTTTAGTTTGGGTTCATGGAATTGGAAAATTTCGTCGAAATAGGTGGTTCTGGTTCCCGCATTGGCCGCATTCTAGTTTGAGTGTTTTTTTGTAATTTGTAATGTAATTTTTTTATCTGAAATCTGTCTACACCTTCAACTGACTTAGACTTTGAACAAAATTTAGTAACAACTCCACCTTAGTCTCTTGACAGGCAAGCATCATTATCTGTGGCCTCTTTGAAATGGCTAAAAAAGCTTATTCTGGACTCAAAACTTTTCCCACATTGATAGCACACTCTTACCGGTATGCATGTTTTCGTGTTTGTCTCAGGGACATCGCTGTGTCATTAAATTTCCCTCCCTGGGCCCATTCTCCAGTTGGAAATATTGTCCGTCGTTTCTAATCTGACACTTTCCGTATGAGGAGCGAGGGGGTGAAGCATATGGCAAAAACAGGTGGTGTGACGTCAGTTGACCATTTTCATTCTAACGTAGGGAGCCACCAGCTCACATTCCTTTGGAGTATCAGATTAAAAACGACGGACTTTACATTTAAACTCGACGACAGTGTTGCACTCAATGGACAAAATTCAAAAATATTTGTATTTATTTTTGGATAATTAAATATGGCTATCTGTAAAGGAATGCCTGTTGATGATAAGTATATTATTGTTAAGTTTTTTTGTTTACGAGTTTCAAAAAAACAGAGATGAACAAAACGCAAAAAAAATTTGTGCATCTGTTGGAAGGTTAGTATAAAATTTAATTTTAAAAGTGCGGGCTTTTTATCTAAAATATTTCCCGGGTTCGAGGCTTTTAGAACCAGAGTTCTTGCATCATTGGTCCTAGGTAGCCGATTTCACAATAGGCAAGTTCTAATAATAAGATAATATTTTCTAAAAAATTTAGTTGTTTTGAATAGGGGCGGCTTTTTCATGTCTGCACAAAGACGGCAGAGGGGCTAGGACCGGCCCTGTATTAGACCCTTTGTAAAAGCACCTAAGCGGCGAAATGTTCTAATTCGATCGAATTTGTTGTCCAGTTTTCCGTTTTCAACATTTTTGTTCTTCTTTGTACTTCAGCTTTTCCTGTTTTTGAGAGCTGAATTTAAGGTCATTATGTCAGCTATAGGTTTTTCTTTTCTGATCTAACACCTGGTATGTATGTTCTCATCAAAAATTTTGATGTATCCAACCTTGTAATAAAGCCCATTGATTTTTGGTAGGCCAGCAATGACCAATGCTTTTAAATATCATCGGGATATTTAGTAAGTGTGTGAAGTTTTTCAACGTACGGGCGAGTGGGGCAACACTACAACAACCACACGGTCCTTAACAGCTCTACAATCTTAGCCCATTGGCATATAACTGGTGATCGCAAAGTTGTTGGGAGAAGTTAGCAGGTCAGCTCTTAACATGGGATAAGACGCTGCGCGCTGTGACTGGGATAGCCGCCTCCATGGGATCAAAATCAGAGTGATGAGACACTTCTCAACTACAGAGGTTTTTACGTCAACCTTGTCGCTCACTCTTGCAGGAATCATTGTAGGTTGCTGTTGGAAACAAGGTGAGGACATAGTGTCTGTACCGTTTACGTATTCAATAGTGATAATTATCAATTTGCTAGAAACTGATGATTTTCGGCCGGACACAGTGTTGTGAACTAGTGAATTTATTATTACTTATATTATCAATAATCCTAATGTTAGCTACATTTTCTCTTCTACAAGTTCCGCGAGTGTGTAATTAAGTATTATTATAACAATACTGTATACTGTTTCAAAGACGATGCCACTTAGAATTATTATATAATCAATGGCCTGTTCACATCATTTTCTCGAAAGTCGGTACTTCTATTGCAGAAACCCCAATTGTTGTAAATATAAAAACTAAGTCAAATACAACCTATGGGAACTACTCTTGCCGCCAAAGACAGAATACCTTCCCAGCCAGGCCCTTTTATAATACAGATGGCGAGAATTACAACCCCTAGGTTAATTTTAGGTTTATGATTGTAAAAACGTTTCGTAACATTTCAGCACTCAAATAAAATATGTTGTTAGGATAAGTTAATTTTAGGAAATTGTAAAATACCCTTCTTTAGGGGGGTCCAAACTTGTCTTCCTTGGTGGAAGATAGTTGAAGGGAAGATATTCAGATTCCGAGCTTCACTCTGGACAGTCGGGTTGCCTCTCAACATTCTTAACTAAGTGTCCCCCCTCAACGAGAATTTTAATAAATGAAACATTTTTATACAATACCGAGTTTCAATTATCGAAGTACGAGATTGGAGCGCGCGGAAAACTCCAGGTACTCAACATTGGTGGCAGCGATTCCCAACAACAGATTCTGAGGAAAACCACCTAAATAAAATATTATTTCTTCAAATCCCAACTTTAAAAAAAAAAAAAAAAACTTTTACGTAATAAAAGTAAATATTGCTACCATGTACTGCGCCACAGAGTTTAGGTTTAAGAGAAAAACGAAGTTACCGAAAAACCGAAGAGGATAGAAGAGAACAGACGAGGAGGCTTTAGAATGGAGACGACAGGACGCACTGGCCTGGCCCCTTAGAAAACGTGTTGCGCGTCTGTAATTATTGATTTTTCAATTTTCATTCCTATTTTGCATTAAAATTAATTGTTCAATCAAATTTGTTATTAGTGTGTGTGCAAGGAACGTACAGGTTAATGGATTAATTATTATTGTGTTTTGAGAGTTCAATTTATGCAAGTTCCTTGTCATATTATATTCCTCCATAATATCATGACATTGTACCTTTTACGACCCTCGAATACTTTCCCAAATAATGTCTCGCCGTCGCCGAAAGCAATATTATTATATGACCCAGACTTTCTGTTAAAGAACCCAAAGATATTGTATGTAAATAAATTAAACATTTGTCCACCATAAACCCCAAAATTCCCAAATATCCTTAATGGTCATTCTTTGGGCGAACAGACTGTCATTTATTGCCAATATTTATTTAGGGTTTTCCAGTTGTAATTATGTAGGTTTTAGAAACGTTTTAGAAGGGATGTAAAGGTCGATTTGTAAGAGATCTAGTGAAGCAAGAAGACAGTCTTAAGACAGCTTCGGTCGTAGTAACACATTTTGTTAAAACTCTCTCTAAAATAAGTCTTACTTTTGCTGTAGTTCAATTTCATTCTATATTCCATTACCTAATAAAGCTACAAGTTTCAAACCAAAAACAAAAGTAGTTTTAACCAAGGCAAAACACTGAAGGATCACAACAGATTTTGGCGCGGTCGGTACGATTCAGAAGTATCTAGCAAGATCCAGCAGGATTTGGATACAAAGATTCAAGACATACCATAGTCAGCCAAAGCTATCATCAGCGTTGACCAGTATTGGATTGAATCACAGTTGTTGTGTAACCACTAGCTTTCAAGTTTTTTGGTAAGTGATTTTTGTCTCTTAATGAGGTTACTTTTGTTTGTCTAACTCCTTTATTAATACTTATATGCCACTATGACTCCTCCTGCCGTAAACCCAGACCTACAAACAATATTATTAGAAACTTTTCAAAACATTTTTAATCAACTTCCTTCGTCAAATTCCAACCCAAATAATGGTAGGTTTTCCGTAGATTTTTTATGCAAACTAATACCTAATAGTTTTGATGGCAATCGTCTTGAATTAGGGCAATTTTTAGCGAATTGTAATAATGCCAATGTATTAGCACAGGACGATCAGAAAAATCCTCTTTTATATTTTATTTTATCTCGAATCGGTGGCAAAGCTAAAGAACAGTCAGCTACCCAAAACTTTGATAATTGGGATACCTTAAAAGACGCTTTAAAAACTTTATATTGTCACAATAAGCTAAACGTCCGCCAGGCTGTCAAGAATCTCTCGGTATTATCTCTTGAGTATACTAGAATCTAGTGAATTATCCTACTTAATTCGGGAAAATAATATTATCGTGTATTCTAGATTTTACAGGAATAGATTTAGGGATATATAAGAAGGCCGGCATTGGTTTGTAGTTTAGTTTCAGTTCGAGTGTGATACGATTTAAATAGTGATTGTAAAGAGTTGAATTGTTGAGTTTGTTAATAAAGTAATTAGTGTCAGAGTGTTTTGTTAAGTGGAATAAATTATTGCTGTGTTAATTGGACTTTGATTTTTGGAATAAACGAAACGAACAACGAACCCAAGAATTTTGTCAGCAGGCAACCCAAAGCTGCGACATTGGTGCCAAGAAGTGGGATATAAAGGACTGCAGAGTGAAATCCAATTGCGGAAGTGTGGGGACACTAGTGTAGTGTAAAAACTGAACACTAAGTGAACACTGGGGCATTTAGTGCAGTGCAAACAGTGACAATCACAAAAAGAGACTCAACCGATCGTGTAAATTACCTCGGAAGTGACTCTATC